GTTGTATATGTCTGCCATATTGTCTGATACAGTATACTAATATAGTCCCTGAAGTCTTTTTTGAAGTCTCACTCACCATAGTTTGGTCCGTTCAGGTTTAATGATTATATAGTTATATGCAGTGCACCTGTGGTTTCAGCTGCAGACAAGAGTATGATGCGAGGTGACCTTTGTGGAGGTCTGTTAATGATTCTTTTATGCCTGTGGTGCTGGAGACGCAGCGCTCTACTGAGGGACCTGAGACTGGCAGGCAATTAAAAACAGGAAAACTGTTTGTTTCCAAGATTATTACTCAGTCTGAAATCCTTCTCACCAAAATAATATAATCATTTACTTATTTATTATTAAATGAACTGACCCCATGCAGGACATTTTGATATAATAATAATAATAATAATAATAATAATAATAATAATAATAATAATAATAATAATTGAGTTCCTTATCTTCCCATAATAGAGACATTTACTGTGTTGGGTAGACGCTGCAACTCACACAGGCTGCCATGAGAGGCGCCATTAGTCATATGTGCCTTACATTGGTATGTATGTTTTCCTCTGGTGTAGATGAGTAAATATGATCTAAATTGTATGGATTTCAAAATCAAATTTCCTTCCCTCCCTGCGGTCGACTCTACCTCTGCCCTCAGAGGTCATCAGAGTCAGCTGGACTCTGTGGAAGCTGTTAATAAACCACCAAATCAACAATGCTCCGCTTCACAGTCAGATCTTCCTGTGTCTCAGAGAGCCACGGCTCAGGTCTGTGTTATAAATGTAATGTATAGTAGGTGAACAGGTTTCGGCGGTATCATAGCATCACTGTCAAGGATTCTTTACTCTTTCAGATTGTCTCCATGAGAGCAGAACAGAACTGTATTTTCACTCTGACACTTCTGTCTCCTCGCACATAAGTCACTGTCAATGGCCCCTGAGTCAGGAGAGAGGTGTGGGGGAATCACACTCGCTCTCACAGAGCTGCAGATAAATCTTGATGTGAGGTGTGACAGCACCAGTGTCTCCACCAGGTCAGGTACTGCTGCTGCTGCTGCTGCAGCTGCTGCTGCTGCTGCTGCTGCTGCTGCTGGTCCTGGAGGTGTTTGTTTTAAGACACTTTCTCATCGGGGTTCCGAGACCTCGCCTGGTTCATTTATACAGGTGCCAGCAGGTTGTTCTTCTCAGTCTCAGATTAGCTCTCCCAGGTTTAAAATACTTGTCAGAACTACTTCCGTGTAACATGAGAAGTTACTCGCACTTGCACAGACAGACTTATTGTACGAGTCTGGTGAACAAGACTCGGTGAAGAAGATCTCCTTACAAAGGACATGACACATACTAATGCACTAGAAACTGTATGTCAATGCCTGAAACAATATTCCTAATGCACTAGAAACAGATGCACTGTATGTCAATGCCTGAAACAATATTCTCCTGTTTGGTCCTCTGATGTCACTGAGAGGAGCTCTGGAAGTTGCTCTAAGTTTATCTTAGCACTAACAACAAACCCTCGGGCCTCACAGGATAATCTTGTGTGGAGCAGCTATAATAACACTGCAGGACTCTGTACACCTCTGTCAGCTCATGCTAGATCTGGGCAAGAGTTCAGTTTCACTAACACGACTGCAGCTTAACATCGTCACTCACTATCTGACACCTGAAAACTTCTTGCCCCGATAAAACTGACTGCACCCTGAAATGAGTAAAATAGGTTTTCCCAGGACATACGGCTGGAAATGTGAATTGATTCCAAATGGAATTCTGATTCCATTATTGATATCAATGATCAATTCCTTTACTGATTCTCGTGTTTAATAAACATTTATATATACACTTGCAATTATTAACTCTTGTAAAATAACCTTTTTTTTATAACAAACTGAGTCAGAGCCAGACTCTTTCAGTCCTCCTCATTTAGATGTAATTATCACACACACTACTGTACAGTTAAACACATGAATGATGCTAACAGTATCACAGGACAGAATTTTAACCTGACAGTCATCAGAACCATTGTTACTCAGCATCTGATGCGAATTGGTTGTATTTCCCTGTGTCTATCAAACAGCTCAAATGGGGTTTTTGTGTGTGTGTGATGTTATCAAGTGAATGGCCAGGCAGAATCCTTAGCAAATGACTATCCTAAGTAAATAGACTATTGGAAATCGGTTTACATAACGTGTTCCATACTGATATCTGATCTGTTGGTGGTTTACACTAGTGCTAAAATAAAATGAATCATGAATCATGATACTAAAAATTCGATTTACACTAGTGCTAAAATAAAACGAATCATGAATCATGATACTAAAAATTCACAACATCTGAGGAATAGTTTGAATACTGCTGCTGTCAAAAGTGTTGCTGCTGAAGAGAAAATCACCTCCAGATTGTCATCTGTTGTTATAGAAAGGTTTGTACCTGGGTTACATCAGGACTCCGGCTGCAGCCTGTTCAATGATGAGCACGTGTCAAAGGCCACAGAGTCAGCGCACTGCTCTTGTTAGAATACAGCGTCTGCTGTCTGAACTCTACACCGACAGCAGCTCCTTGGTTTGTTCCATTCACTATCAACACCATGTCAATCACAGCATGTCTCGGAAAAAAACATAAAGAGGTGGCCTGTATTCTTGTTTGTAGAAGCCTTGACCTCAATCTGCCTCCACACAAACCACAGCACAGAGGTGGAGTGGTACCTACACTTATACACAGGAGAGCGGGCTGACCTCACTGTAATAACCACCGCATTTGGAGTTTCAGACAGGACATGACAGAGTGACAGGAGAGTGTATGCATTAAACCTTCAAAGCACACTTTCAACGTGTGGTGTATACATTAAAGGCACTCAATGCACAACATTCAACATTTTGTGGCAAGGCAAAAAAAACAAAACATTCTCAACTAAAGCAGGTGAATAGTTTCAGCTTTTTAACTTTAATTTTCATCAACTACTAAAAAAAAAGGAGGCTGACACAACTTTCACCAAATCCAGAAAGCTCTAACTGCTGAAGGCCAATATGCCACGTGTTAAATCCGGTAAGTCACAAATTGTGGAGGCATCCAATAAAAAGAATCCATCAAACAGATGTTGTAAGGAAGTTGGATTGTGATGCAACAGGCAGAAAGTGTGATCAACAATATTATTGACTGCAGCATCCACAGCGCCCTTAACTGGATCTTGTTTTTAATAAAAAAAAAACAAAAAAACTTAGAGGCAACAAAAATATACAGTTTTTGAAATGTACTTGTATCTTTAAGTTGTCTTTAAAAAAAGGTCTTTATTTAAAACCAATGGTTTTAAACTCATGTCTTGTTCTATAATGAATCCATTTATCCATGACACCCTTACATTTATTATGGAAATTGTTGCCTGTGCAGATTCCAGATCTGCATGCCCTCTGTTATCAGATGAGAATGATTATTCGATATGATAAACCAAAGGAACACAATTAAACTACTCAAGGCTCTGATTGAACTGTGGAATCTTTGTTCTAAAAACTGGATGGTTTTGATGAACCGCCACATGAGGCTGGATTTCAATGACGGGGGGAGTTCAGTGTTATTACAGCCCCTTGTAGCAAAACTGTTAGATTCTCTTTAATTTTATTTGAATAGAAATTAACAAAGATTGTCTAACTGCTGAACACCTACGAAGATAATCTTATAATTTCATCACACAGTGTTAATTGTCAGAGCCTTAGACGCAGATTTCCAGAGAAAGGTTTGAAAAAAATGTATTTAAACTACTATACTTAAACTTTTATCCAACATAGCTATTTATTTTACAGTACGCACAACCTGAAAATAACATATTTAATTTGTGCCGTGCAAAGAGCGTCAACAAGCTAATGAGGAGTCATCGGCAGTGAGAGTTTTCTAGTAAAAAGTATAGATTTTACAGATCATTTCTGTCAGCCTTCAGTATTGTACTGGGAGCCTCAGCAAATGTCAGCAGTGTAATAATTCCGCACTTCATTTTGTTATTTTGCCTCGTAAATTCAAATATAATTAACCTTGCTCCATCCTCATAAGAGAGGAGAGTGCATGTGTGACCAGGACAACAAATGGAGAGATAATTAAAAAGGGATAGATCTCCAACCAGGCCTTCAGTAATGACCCTTGAAAGACATAAACAATTCTCATTATGACTCTGCCAAAATCTCCATCAAGACCAGGGTGTAATTAACAGGATCAGCATAAACATTAAAACCCATTGATCCTCCAGTTTTACCACCCACAGCTGGCTGGGCCTGTGGGCTCGGAAGACCCAGACCATAAATCACATTCAAATGGCATTTTAGTGGCTCTTAAACCAGAGAGCATCTGATGTGGCACATTGTTTTAGGCCTAAGAATGACTGGACACATTTCTAAAAGGTATGAGAGTCATTCCAAAAAATAAGGAATGAAAATCAAATGTAATTTTAGGAGGATAGAATTGTAAATTGATAAGAATTTACTACAAAATTGCAAGACATAATATGTACATTTACCAAAAAATACGCATTATGAACACAAACAAGCAATAGTCAGTTATGTTTTTATGAACTGAATGAATGAAAAAAAATGTTGAAAAATCTTATTGACCTTAATGTGCCAGAAGATATCTCTTTATCTATTCAGTAAACAAATGCTGAGGTTTAATTTATAAAACAAAAGTCATATTACTTGGTGATTGTATGACTAATGTAATCATTTTTATTTGTAACCCCAATGTGGCCAATAATCAGTTGCACTGTTTATACCAACTGTATGCCTTATTTATGCCATAATCAAACATTGCACTTTAGATATTTATTCGAAAGCGAGGTCATTAAAGGCTGTTGTAATATATAATATGTAATGTTTGTAATAATATAACATATAATAATACATTTTAATACATGTAATATCATGAAGTATTTTTTTCTTGATTACGTCGCCAAAATATTGACGGCGAACTTGTACCTACAAATGCTGGATTTATTCAACGTTCCACGTTGGCCTTCAATGTGACGTCATACTGCCAACCAATGAGAGCAGGTGTTCCTCTGTGTTTGTTTAGAAGCGCAGGTGTTTGTAATTAGATGTAAAGTCTGGTGAGAAAATGATAACCTGGGGTCAATAACTAGGAAAATATTTTTTATTTGTTGTAAATTACATCCCTGGTGAAGTCTTCAAAAAGAATAATGATTTAATTTAAATAATATGTCCTCGGTTCCTATGGCCACAGACCAGACAGAGGAAGACTGAGAAACTTCGTCGAACACGCAGCAAACTTCAAGTAAATAACGGACATTAACGGAAATTACTGTGTTTGACCCTTTCACGGACAACAACGGTCACGACATCTCAATGGTGAGTCAACGATTTTACAGGACATTATTGACACTCCCCATTAGCGGCTGCGGCATATAAGGCCAGGTTTATTTTGAAGAATTAATATAACATATAGAAGGTTAATATTATTACTTGTTTCTACATGGCTATTATGTTTCCCATCGATTTAAGGGCGTGTTTATTCCTAGCTTATTGTTGTTAAAGTTTCAGCAGTTGAGCAAAGCTCAAGTTGTTTGTAAATTAAAACGGTGCTTTTCAAACTATGGTACGTGTACCACTAGTTCCACGTGGTGGGGCCCTCCAGTGATATACCTGATTAACCGATTTTATATAAAGGAAAAAGAAGAAAAATACCAACAAAATATAATTTGTCATGTCTGTAACCAGACCACATGGAAAACAAATGTATGAGTGGGCAGAATAAACCTGCTGAATTGATTTTGTGCATGTAGGTGTGGTTTAAAACTATAATTAAATGTATGTAGTAGTGCGCTTTGGTTAATAAATAGACTAATATCCATATTATAAATCAGTGGTTTTCATTACATTACATGCTGAGCTGAACTGAACTCTTTTTTGGTTTGAGGTCACACTGGTTCCCCACATACGGTGGTATGTGTGGTAAAAAACACTGGTTTATTGCTTTCGCTTTATTTATTTGGTAACCAACTTTGAATTTGATTTGTTTCTTCCTGTGTGTGAGTCTGAGGAGGAAAAGGAATTAGGATGGTTTTTGACAACGCTGGTTTGATAATGAGTTGGACTTTTTCTGTGGCTGGGTACTGACTGGTACCATGTATTTATACTGATGGCAACAGTAACTGGGGAATACAGAAAAATATCCGTTTCTGTTTACCTTTACCCAGACATTCACCAGACTTGTGGCTTTCCCAGTTTGTGAACCTCTTTTAATAAAACAGCCAGGCACATGTTGCCCTTTATGCTTCGTGTCCAAGCGGAATTGGCTCTGTATGTCTCTACTGTATATTTATCACAGTATTATGTGCACATGGCTTTCTACTGCAGGCCCGGTCGTCTGTGAGTGTCAGTGCAACAGACTAGAAGAGATAACAGGGCCTAATGTCTCAGTTTGGTCTGTAGCCCATGTCCAGAGAGCTCCTTCCACAGTGCCAGAGGCAACACAGCTATTCTCCAACACCTGTCACCAGCAGAAAATTGTCCTTCACAGTAGCGGGTTGAGCAAGCAGCCTAAAGGGTTGAAACAATACCAGAAGTATAATGATTTTATTTATAGCCTCAATACAAGGCAAGGAGTTCTTCCTCTCAGCCTCATCCCTGGGGCTTATGAGGTCGAGTGACAGTGTCATGAATTGATGTGGCACGTGACATTCCCACAGACAGTGACCCATAACCTTACAACCACACAATGAGCAATAAAATAACCTTTTCTCATGGACTGTCTACGCATCACTGCAAGTACTGCATTGTTTGACTGCATTTTCTCAATGCAGGCTTGAGAAAATTGAGTCTTTTCCAGCAGAGTAGGGCAAATAATTCATAAATATATCCATATTTAACACAAGTTGTTAGAATACGCACTGTACAACCCTCACCTGTTCAGAGTGATGTGTGGTCACAGATTTCTTTGGTTTTGGAACCATACACCAATTGATACCTTTAAGAAGCAGTTAGACATACCAATATTTATATTATATGTATATTTGATATTAATACATATACACAGTATAACATTACATTGTGACAATTATGTCTGTCAAAGCCTCCACCAATGATCGATGGAGGAATGCTAAATGGATTGTATATACAGTGATGGTCATCCTGACCATGCATTTACATTTTACTTTGATTCATTTCCCACATTATTAAACTCAATTAATTCATTGAGTTGACAGTCATTACAGATGTATATTATTGATTTATTATTGATTGATAAATTGTTGATACAATTGCATTTCAGTGTGATTTGACTTGGCAAATATTTGGTTGGTTTGTACATTAGAAAATAAAGAATAGAACATATTACACTGTTCAGTTCCAAAATATGAAACAGCTCTGCAAAACGTTCTTATTTATTTGTATATAAATTAAACTGATAACTAATGTGAGTTTAATCAGTTTAAATTCATAAGATAATGGTCCATGGCAGCTGTTATCATCCACATTCAAATGTCTTTGTAATACTCAAGTCCTGTTTGCATTTCCTTTCACAAAGACAATTTCTTTAGTGGTTTAGTTTGTTTTGTTTTGTTTAAATAAATCCAGCCTGAACTTCCTTAGAGGGAAAAGATGAAACGTCCGGCCCATTCCTACAGCAGTACATTATCTAACAGCTTTGGGTTGTTTAATCAGTTCTCAGTGATTCATGTTCTTGCTCTAAAGCCAAGTTTATATTTGTAAAGTGGATACTGGCACTGGCCTGTAAGGGACATATTTATTACTTTAGCCTATCTTCTAAGAGCCATATTCCTAGAAATAAGAACCTTTAAAACATTATCCAGGTTTATGTTTTATTTATCTAAAGCATTGTAACTCTACCAGAATCTCAGAGATGGTTGTTACATATCTCAAACAATAGAAATGAAGAGTCTACTTTACTTACCAGACCCGGCTGTTGTCAGCAGTCAGCGACAGGTCATCTCTCACTTTAATTGGGAGTGTTTCAGTAGAATGGTCTGAAGCCAGGTTTGAGGATGCTGCATTATTGAAACCATATTTTGCAACTGATGGACATGGGTCTTTCTTCTCGTCTCTCTCCTCACTCCTCTCTAAAGTGAGACACCAGCTGCTGGCACTCTATCCATCTTGAAGTGCTTACATAAAAAGCCAGTACTGGTCGAGGGAACAGTCTGCATTGAACTCTCAGTTCTTTCAATTGCTGCATTATAAAAGCTTCCACAAACATCATTAGAAACCCTGTGCTGGCACTAATGAAACTATTCAATTTCCGGCTCACACTTATCTCTCCGAGTGACTCAGCCTGGTCTTTAGGACATCCTCAATAACCTTATCTCTCCAGTCCATGCAATCGTTATATTCCTTAAAATTTTGCTCTTCAGATCATCACTGAAAATGCACTCAGGTTTTAGGCTGCATGCATCAATATGGAGACATGCACCGAGGGCTGTAATTAAAAGATAGTAAAACTCACAATCTATGATTGATGTTACATCAGAGATGGAACAAATAGTAAGTAATCAAGCTCTCTGCCCAATGACAGCCACACCCTCTAGTTATTATGTTTTCTGGTGGTTTGTCATCCATTTATCTTGCTTCTACTGTACTGCTTCATCTGGAATGACCTCAGATTGCAGCGGGGCAGAGAACACCACTAACAGGCTCACAGCAGGGCATGTGTGGAGATGAATAAAGATTAGTGACACAACATTTTAGCATCTGTTGTTTTGTAGTGGTCTTTTGCTTTGATTATAAACATGTCCACATGGCAAACAGTATTTGTGTTTAAATTTTCATTTTGTTTATGCATACTATGCAGGATGTAGTGTTTGTTGGCTGTTGTTGATACAACTTGAGGGAGTGTAGAGTGACTATCACAGTGTTGCAGGTGGTTTGTTCTTTGCCATTGGCCACGTGTCACAATTACAGAGGCATAACTTGGCTTGGCCCTTCCTCTCCCATGTGTACGAATAAACAATAGTGTATTTATCTTACGAAAATAGTGACCATTGTGCATTTCTTTTTACTCATACAATCTCACAAAAAAACAGAACCATATGATCACATCCTGTTTCCATGGTTATTGTGGCACCCTGTCTTGTCCTTGCAGTACTGAATGTTGCCCAAAGGAAGTTAAAGGTTTAATGATTCAGCACCATTTTCAGGGCCAGTTTTCTGTGGGTCACTTTTTAATATTAAAGATGCACATGGATAAGCACATGGGCAAATCAGTTAAACCTTGGGAAAAGATTTGGAATATTTCATCCATTGAATTTAATGTTAAAATGACTAAACTCTCTGCTTCACTGTCGTCATGTGAATCACTGCTGAGCTCCAAAGTTTGGATCTGCATTTCTAACAGCTCAGCAAAATTCTTTATTCATATTTATTCATATCGACCTGAATGAGGGATTTCAAACTACATAATTGCGGTGATTACGCTGTGAGAGTGACACACCTGACAGCTCATCAGGAAGTGAGTTCAGGCCAGCAGCATCCTCGTCAGGATTTTTGTTTAGCTCATGTACAGACCTTTGAAGTGTCTAATTGTGCGTTCAGAAACAAGGGGAAAGAGCATGTGCCTTCTCCCTCTGTGAGCTAGCCTGCCTTGGCAAATGCCAAAAGGATCATACCAGATGCTGAAACATCTGTGAGTCTAATTCATTTTCTGCGAGTCCCATATGGGTTTTTTCCTTGGTGCTAAGTGCAAGAAATAATGAATCCCTTTATTATTCATGGTTTTCATAGAGCTTATCCTCATATGATGGTAGTTGCAAAGGCAAATGGTACGCTCGTCGTCACATGTGCTGACACACTGGGTTTTATGAATACAGAGGTAATTTGAATTAACATACATTATATTTCCTGGGCATCACACTGTTATGTTGGATGTCTCTCAGGCTCCATCAAAAAAACCTATTATTTATGCATTTTCTGTTCAACCCTGTAAAAAATATCTGGTGAAAAGTCTATGGAAAGATAATTGTCTCTAATTTGATGTCTAGAAAATAATGACATTCAAGCTCCTACAACATTACAAAATTTAATTTCCCCACTGTGGCGGTGTGTGATGTTTTATTCTTCTCAGTTATGCCAGAATGCATCATCTGGCCAACTTCCGTCTAAATCACACCTGTGGGGCCTGAGACGCTCAAACACCTGGGACATCATGTCCAACAAAATCACAAACATCATCTGATTAAGGAGTCCCTTTGGTTTGATTGTGTGCAAAACAAAGTAAGGACAGTATCAACTGAAATAAGAACCTAAATATATCTTCATTAAGGCAGTGACAAGGTGGCTTTTCATCTTTTCTCCCTCCTGCATTCTGGATCAAACTGTTTGGATCATTATTTTTTTTA